AGCAGTAGTAGTAGTAGTAGTAGTGGTAGTAGTCTAGTAGTATAGTATAGTATAGTAGTCGTAGTATAGTAGTAGCACTATAGTCGCAGTAGCAGCAGCAGTAGCAGTATATAGTGGTAGCAGTAGCAGCAGCATATAGGGGTAGTACTATATATAGTATATAGTATATAGTATATAGTATATAGTATAGCAATAGTAGTAGTAGTAGTAGTAGTAGTAGTGGTGGTAGTGGTAGTGGTAGTGGTGGTAGTAGTGTAGTGGTAGTGGTAGTGGTAGTGGTAGTGGTAGTGGTAGTGGTAGTGGTAGTGGTAGTGGTAGTGGTAGTGGTGGTAGTAGTAGTAGTAGTAGTAGTAGTAGTAGTAGTAGTAGTAGTAGTCGTAGTCGTAGTCGTAGTAGTATAGTATACGAGTAGTACAATAGTATATAGTAGTAGTACAGTCGTATACTAGTAGTAGTAGTAGTAGTAGTAGTAGTACTAGTAGTAGTAGTAGTAGTAGTAGTAGTAGTAGTAGTAGTAGTAGTAGTAGTAGTAGTAGTAGTAGTAGTATAGTATATCGTATAGTAGCAAAAAGGAGAGTAGTGTAGCAATGGTATATATAATGTATTGTACAGTTATTTAGTACTACAATACTTAAATTTTGCATATCATATATAGCCCTCTTAGACCACACTAGCATGCGGGACACCGGCCAGTCCCTTTCACTTGGAGCCCGCCACGGTTCCATCTCAGCACGGCCAAGCAGGGAGTCCTGCATGCGGCCGGCAAATGTTCGGTGAGTTTGTTGACAGCAGACGAAGCACGACCCAGGATGCACAGCCCAGTCCAGCCTCCGAGGCAGCATCACGAGGCCGCTTGGATATTGCATCCTGTCAATATTCGAGAGATTCATCCTTATGCAGGGTAGCTCTCTTAGCAGTGCACAGGACACTTCGGGCGGACCAGCAGCACAAGTGCTGAAACCCAAAGTTTATCGATTGATAAACCCTGTGGTTTTGGAAACACCAGGATTTATAGATTCACAAACTCTGGGACCCAAAAGAATGAGAATCTATAAAACCTGCGGTTCCCGGATCAGCAGGGTTTATCGATTGATAAACTCTGGTGTTTTTAGAACACCAGAGTTTATCAATTGATAAACCTTGCTGTTTTCTAGATACCAACCATTGGAAGCAGCACCCACCTTGCTTGACCAGGATCGGCTCATCGCATGGGCCGCCTGGGTGCATAAAGGCATGGAGGGTTCGCTGCAAAGGACGGCCGCCGAGCCGCCGACCCTGCTCACCCACGTCGATGCCTCTTGCGGTAGGTCCATTCCTGGTCCCACCACGAGTCCTGCAAAAGGCACACAGAAGCCGAACACCACAATGACCATGGCACATCCTCCTCCGCCGGCGGTGCCCTGGAAGAGCTGGAGCCCGAGCCCTGCACGTCGGGGCCCAATGCAAAAAGAAAGGGTGCCAAGGCTGCCTGTGCATGGCCTGAGACAACTGGCCCTGGCCGGGTGCCCACATCCGCTCCTGCATGTCGGAGCACAGAGGCAACTGAAACAAAGGACGACTGCACTTGCAATGCCTGTCCTGAACTCGCAGCTGGTCCCGCTGCAGGGCGATGTGGTCGCTCATGACACCAGCCATCTTGTTCGCCGTCTCCATGGCTTGCGAAGCGATCCTAGCAGCACCGCCACCCCTAGTCCGGGCACGGGTGCGACCGCATCCTGGAGGGAACAGCTGCCCGTCTTCCGTGAGGAAGCCGGCCACCTGCACCCCCTGAGGCTTCGCAGCACCTGACAGGACTGCCATGGTGTTGCCGTGTGAACCAAGCATGATGACACGACTGCCTCCATAAGCCCACGGTGCTTTGAAGCTGCTGGGCACATGCACGAAGCCACCCTGCAGCACACATCACTGATGTCACTGTGCATGTGCTGCCGGCGAGCCAACAGGCCCTGCCAGGCGACCATGCCACAGGCATCAAACCCTATATAGCCTTGGTCGGCACCTTCACGAGGGCCGTCTCCTTTTCCGGAAGAGCACAACAAAAAAAACAGACGATGCAACCCACTGTCCTTGCCTGCTTGGCCAGCTCCAGCTTCTTCCCGGGTCGGGCCTGCAAAAGCGCCATGTGGCTTGCATCATGTGGAGTTGCAACACACGAAACCCAAACCCCAAACCCGAAACCCTAAACCCTTGGCCTTCTGCTTCGGCTTAACCACAGCCAGCTGTGTGCCCTGGGTTCGAACACGGCAGGATCCACGAAACTGCCGACACATGCCGCACCCAATCGCCTCGTGGCCGGGATCATCATCATCATCATCAGCCAAGTCCTGCATGTGCTCCATTCTTTTCAGGTCTCACAAGAATGGCATCCACAGGCCTTGGGGCTGTGGAGCACAGGTTCCTCCTCAGTTCGAAAGGAGCAGAGCAACCCAACCCAGAGCCCATCAAGACGGTGCATGGGCCTCCTCGATGCACACTTCCTCTTGTTCGTCCTCAGGAAGACATGCACGAAACCGCCTGTGCTCCCAAGACCCGTGTGAACCCAACCTCCTCTTCGAAGAGGGGCTCCTCCGGTAGGTCCTGATCGAAGGGTGTTAAGGTGGGTTGAGGGTTTTAAGGTTTGGTGTATGGTTGGGGTTTTTAGGCCTTGGGCTTAAAATATACAAGAACCCTTGGTGTCTATATGTGTACATAAGGATGTGATAGAAAAAAAGCTATACCTATATTGCCTATATACCTATATATATATATATATATGTATCTACATATACACTTACTTATAATTGCATTTATACAGAAATATCTATACATGTATATATATATATATATATGTATATATGTATATATGAGAACCAATATATACGGAGGCTAGATATTCGCAATCTCAGCATGAACATTGCCACAGCTTTGCAAGTGCTGAAGCTCCTGCTCAGCCTCCATGCCGCATTCCTCGGCCGCCTCCTCCACGATCATGGGATCCTGCAAAGGTCTCGGCATGATGGCTGCATGCAGGGCCGATGTGCTCGCAGGCAAGCCATCATGCACCGGAATGGAACAAAGCAAGCCAATGCCTCCTGATGCTCTGGGCCCTGTTCTTCCTGCATGCACACGACAGTCTTACAGGCCCAAAACAAATCGGAATGCAAGAAAACAAGCCAAAGCCTCGGGATCGTCGTGCTCTCGGGTTTCTTCTTCCTGCATGCACACGAAAGTCTTTTATGCCCACAGCAAACCCGGAAAAGGCACTGCCTCCACTGCAGCTGGCACCGGCATGTGGGGCTCGTGCCGAGAGTCCTTCGGAATTATATGAGTTTAGGGAAACACACTTAAAGCACAACATGCTGGGCAAAGCCTTGTCGACATCCACCAACCACAGCTTGCTCTGGTGGTATCGCCCATTGTGCCAGAACTGCCAGCCCTTCTCCGGCGGCTCCGGCAACTCGTGGTTCTCGTGGAACCAAAGGCTTTGCTGGCCATCCCGGGTGTCGATGTGCCAACCTGACCAAACACCGGTTCCCAGCCATCGCAGCTTCGTGCCGGACTCCGTGACCCAGCGGTGCTTCCGGCGATTGGGTCCTGCCGAAAAACAAAGGAAAGACTTGTAAGGATTGAAGACAGCCAGCCTTTCATTGGGTAGAAGACATCTTCCACCGTCACGAGGTCCATCATGAGCCTCTGCTCGGCATCCTGGGAAGTTGCAGGTTTGCCCGAGTCTATAGAACCACAACTTTTGAGACCAAACTGGGTCCACGGCGGAAGGGGTTCCGGAACACATCATCGTGAACCCCGGCATGGCCCCGGACTAAGCAAAGCTAAAAGCCCCGCCCCCAACAGCCAAAGGCCTCGAATCATGATGCATTCCGCCATGTTCCATGCTGAGCAGCTTCCAGAATGCTTGCATGCGACAAACAAATTGCAACCTTCTCTCTTCTGTCTGCATCATGGGAATGCATGCATGTGATAAACAAATGGACACTTTCTTTCTCACTTCTGTCTGCATCGTGGGAATGCATGCATGCCACAAACAAATGGACACTTTCTCACTTCTGTCTGCATGTGGCTGATCGAGAGAACACGATGTGCTATAGCAAACCCGGCCGAATCTCATTAGTTCTCGGAGCTGCTTTCCTCGTTCTTCTCATCGTTGTCATCATCCGACTTCTCCTGCGACTTCTCCTGATCATTGCCCGATCGGCGACTGGTTCGCCTTTTCTTGCGGGGTTTCTGCTCACTGCTGTCGACACTATTCTTCAGCCATTTCAGGTTCTCTTCGGAGAATTCGATCCACACCGATTTTGTTCCGATTCCGTCGAACAGCACCTGGAACTCGTGCCCCTGGACCGAGATGGTGAATTTCAGCGGCAACACCAGTGCATGTTTCGAAGAGGCTTTGAAAACTTGCGGCTTCTTGGACTTCTTCTTGTTCTCCGTCGCAGCATCCTCCTCCGTGTTCAATGCCTCCTGCAACAACTGGTTTGCCTTGTCCTGCCTCGCACGGATCATTTCGTCCCAGATGTCAATGTTCAACGATCCACTGGCTTTGCCTGGCCGCAAGTCTAAGGATTTCCCTGTCAGTGTTTTGACAAGGGCACGATCCCACTTCTTGAGATGCATGTAGGTCTCACCGTCGACAGATTTCTGCTCGGGGATGCAATGGTTGCCATTCACATACAGCACCATCTTCTGCTCGACAGTCAAGTTCATGGCAGGCAGATTCCAGCTATGTGTTGGTTCCTATATATATTAGAAATGCTCAGCCAGAAGATCCTGCAATCGAAACAACATGCACTCAGCTGCCTGCGAGCTAAAGAAGCCCTGCAGGCGCTGAAGAGCAAGCACGAGGCACAGCACAATTGCAACAACTTAAACTCCTGCCTTTGGAGGTGCTCAAAAGAATGCAATCACACTTTTGAAGAAGCCTCGGTCCGTCCCTGCCTGCCAATGTTGCTCGTGTGAAAGGAAGACTCAATCCCGATGCATGTTCAGAACATGACAGCCAATGCTCACTTCTTGGTGGTTTTGGCTTTCTTGGCTTTCGGGGCATGCTCCTCCTCGTCAGCCTGCTTCACCTTCAGGATATGCAGGGCAGTCCCCGTGCCAATCTCCTTGCTGTTCTTCAACATTGGGATGCGAACCGACGATTGTACGGTCCCGGACATGACCTGAACCATGTTGGCGGAATCTTCGTCTTCGCAAGATCCGACCAAGAAGTACGGCGAGATGAAGTGTTTGCCGACTTCTGGATTGCTATCCTTCGGCAAGGAGTTGCAGCTCTGCAACCAAAACTCACGATCGTCGAGCTTCCACTTGGTTTGCACCTGGACCGCATTCGCCATGGGCTCGGGCTTCGGGCTCCTCGTGCAAACCTTCCAGCTGTATGGCACCAAGATGAGCTTGCCTTTCCCGAAGACCTGCTGGCTCACCAAAGCTCTGCATGGCTTCAGCTGCAGAGACAAGCCCTCGAGAATTTTCTGCGAATCGTGGGTCTTGACCAACTCATGCATTGCCTGATGAATCTCAGCGATCACCAAGCCGGCCAAGAAATCGTTGTTCTTCTTGGGCCCCATGGACTGCAAAGCAGCAATGGACTCGGGCTCCGCTTTCGGCTTGAAAACCATCCAGCCCGAATTCAGCAAATCTCTCGCCGGCACCTTCAAGACTCCACCGGACTTCAGATCTTTGACGGTGACATTGCTGTCGTCCATGGCGCCGATTTGGCCTTCGAACTTCTCGCCCTTCTTCTTGATGCAGGCACCAACGATGAAGCCCTCAGCACTGAGGAGCTCAATCGGATTCTTGAGGCTGCCGTCTGGATTCAGCTCCCGGAGTCTTTCCTGGACCCCCTGGGACCCCGATGACTCCTGCTGCAGCCCTGCATCCATCACTTCCGCATCGCCCGCCCAAGGCGACACCAGAGCTGTCCCAAGCAGGCCATTCGCCACCGTGATGCAATCATGGGCCACTGCTTCCACGGCCTTGTACTTCTTGTCGTCCTCAGGGCTCAGGCCCAAGACGAGCTTCGCCATCGTGCAATCCGTGACCCCCAAGAGATTCACTAGCCGAGTGTCGCTCATCAACTGCACACCGGCTCCGGTGAGCATGCTGCGAATCTTGGACATTGCCTCGTCGGCTTTGATGGCCTTGGGAAGGGCATCTTTGGCCAATGCCTTCTTGACAGATGTGGCAGTCACCAGATTGGTGCTCAGTGCAAGCTTCACCAAAGCATGCCTGAAGAAGGTCACTTGGTCGCCCTTCTTCAAGTCCGCCGACACATTCTCCCAGAAGGAAGGTCCCATGCCCTTGCTCTGGCCGTGACTGCGAAGAAACATCTCAGTCTCGGCGAGAAAGAATGCATCCGCACCGCCACAATGCCTGCATCTCTATATACTTTGCATGCAGGCACTCTCCAAAACCTCTTCAACACAGACACTAGATATAATAAGAAATCTACAATCAAAGTGCCAAGCAAGAAACCTGAGTGCGAACTGATACAGCCCTGGGAGGCACTCTGCACACGGAGGCTTCGAGTGCAGGGCTTGTCTCTTGACCGTCTGATAGTCGGGCACACCGGTCTGTCGCCCCACGATGGTACAAATCCGCCGCAACAACTGAAGTTCTGATTCCGTTTTTTGTAAAGTTGCATTGCATGAGGACTGAACCAGCTGCAACAAGTCTGGCCACTTCTGGCCCACTTCAGCTGCGATGACCGTCCACTCCAGGCCTTGGAGTACATACTCAGCGAGCACCGGGTCTCGCTTCTGCACGAGCTCTAGGGAGAGACTGCCCTGAACCGAGATTACCTCCGATTTGTGGGGTGCTCCATCAGCAACCAACCGAAGTGCAAAATTCGTGTGTGAACTGCTGAGGGAGAGCACTTTCAGCTCTCCAAGTTCAAGCCGGCCGAGCTGACCGCCTGCAGACTCAACCAGCTGCTTGTTGAAGACCTGCTCAGCCTCGCTGGAAGCTTCAATGGCAATGGGATTCGTCCGAGTCGGTTCGAAGCCGACAGCGGAGATATTGTCCAACAACTCATGTACGTCTTGAACTACCAGACATGACCCATCACGATTGGCTGGGTGCACTCCCACAGCCTTGGGTGGGATTCGCATCCGCTGAAGCAGGGAGTGTCGTTTGAGCACGGCAAAGATCTGCTGGACATTGCGAACCAGAAAGTCCCCCTTCCGACTGCTCTCCTCCACCAGGCGACTGATCTCCGCCACAGCCTCCGGGGTCAAAGGCATCGCGAGCGATTCTGATCGCAGGCGAAAGTAGATTCCTTGCTAAACCGCTTGAACCAACAGCTCTGCACATGCTGGCGGCTCAACATGATCGCTGCAAAACACATGCCCCTGCAAGCAGCCCGGCTGCCTGCGAGCAATACTGCCCTGCATGGCGCCGAGCCTGCTTGCCACAGCAAATTCAGCAATAATTGCATGAGCAATCCTGTAGATCCGTCCATTTCCGCCAACAACAATCGAAAATATCCCTGCTGCAGAAGCACAGAATGCATGCATGGAGCTTGCAAAACAAATACAGTTGTCTGAGTTCTGTCATACACTAAGTTGAACATACAGGACTTACTCGATATACTTAAATGAACTTATAACTTCGGTGCCTGAGATGCTTAAGTCCAGTAACATAGATATAACTAGATATAGTTAAGTCGGCTATGTGTTCCAAGTACTTGGCTCGATTATTATGTAAATACTATTTGAACAGCCTCACATAATAAGTCCTATAATTGTTTAGCACGAATATATGTTCCATATGTCTAGACATAGGCATGTTATAAGTACAGACTTATGCCAAGTATATATTCCTTTCAACTGCTCTATCTGTTTATAAACGCCCCGCCCTCTCAAGTAGTAATATATATGATGATAATAAACAAGCGCCCGGGGAGCACAACGACAGCGAAAAAAAACCGCGCCCCGCAGGCACGACAGCCAAAAAAAAACGCGCCCCGCAGGGACGACAGCAAAAAAAAAAACGCGCCCCGCAGGGACGACAGCAAAAAAAAAAACGCGCCCCGCAGGGACGACAGCAAAAAACAGAAACGCGCCCCGCAGGGACGACAGCAAAAAGAAAAACGCGCCCTGCAGGGACGACAGCAAAAAAAGAAACGCGCCCCCGCCACGACAGCAAAAAAAAAAAAACGCGCCCCCCCACGACAGCAAAAAAAAAAACGCGCCCCCGCCACGACAGCAATAAAAAAAACGCGCCCCGCCACGACAGCAAAAAAGCAGCGACAGCAAAAAAAAAACACTCTTACCGTCCTTAAGGTCATGCAGGATTTATACCATCAACCGTTTCACCCCAGACCCTGAACCGAACGCATGACTGCAGATTGTACTTGTCCTGGCAGGCTTTGACGATCACAACTTTCGCTTCTCTGGATCGTCTTCCCATGCAAAGGGTTGCTCAGTGGAATTTACAGAAGACGCCAATCCGCCATCCATGGGCGATGCTTAGCACGGCACTCGCAGAAGGAGTCCTTTAGTGGCAGTGTTCCTCTCGGGCGTGGTATAGCTGCAACCTCATTCTCAGGGTTAGATTCTCCCTGAATCCTAAACTCTAAGCCATTGTGATGGTTAGGGTTCGCGCTGCGATTCGCAACGTCTTGCACTGCTGATCTTCTTGCACTGACCGATTTCACCTGTTCCGAAGTTACGGTGACTGGGGTTCATCGCCATCGTGACGTCTTGAAGGTTCTAGGCTTTCGGACCAAGGATGTATTGAAATTGGCTTGGGACCTTTATCCCTTTGCGGACCTGGGTTTGTATCTAGTTTAGCAAGCTCCCCGGGTTGTCAATCCCGGCACCATTTTTTCAACTCTGCCGATGTGCGTATACCCTAAGGGTCATCCCGGATGTCGTTTCCGAAGTGAGGAATCCCTTCTTAGGTGTCTTTATACTAGCAGCTCGGAAGTCAGGTGGAAACAAAGCCTTGTTTCAGTTCACTCTGTTAAGATACCCGTAAACCCCAAACCCTAAATCCTAAACCCTGAACAAAAACTCTAACCTCTAAGCCCTTTTTGCTTCACTTTGCTAAATCACCATGTCAAGCCCGCGATGCAGAACTCCACGCTGAACCCCGTGAGCTTTGAAGCGTTGAGCCAGCTCAGCTGAGGCAACGACTGGGTCGCGCGCTTCGTCGGCAATCTAGTCAGAGTCTAGTAGTAGTAGTAGTAGTAGTAGTAGTAGTAGTAGTAGTAGTAGTAGTAGTAGTAGTTGTTGTTGTTGTTGTTGTTGTAGTTGTAGTAGTAGTAGTAGTAGTAGTAGTAGCAGTAGTAGTTTATCATCTAAAATGTAATATAAATAGCCCAGCCAGTAGCAGCAGCAGTAGCAGAAGCACCAAGCAGTAGCAGTAGCCGTAACCGTAGCAGTAGCAGTGGCCGTAGCAGCAGGTAGTACTAGTAGTAGTAGTAGTAGTAGTAGTAGTAGTAGTAGTAGTAGTAGTAGTAGTAGTAGTAGTAGTAGTAGTAGTAGTCGTAGTAGTAGTAGCAGCAGCAGCAGCAGCATCTGCAGCAGTAGCAGTTGCAGTGGGACGACTCCAGTGGCTGCCATACATCCCCGAGTAATCCATCATAATCCCGAAACCCGGTACCTTGTTCCATTCATGATTCAGCAACGTCTTCAAGCACAAGACCCGACGCCGAAAATCCAAAATACTTAACCCACATGTCTGAAGCTCAAACGTCGGGGAGGCAGGGAGGACAAAACCGGACAAGAAAATTTCAAGCGGCGCCCTTCACTAAAGCTACAAGTTCTGTCATCTGGCCAGTGATGGGTTTAGGTCCTCGGGTTTATAGTTTTCAGTAAACCCCTCTCCCCAAACCCTAAACCCTGAACGCTGAACCCTAAACCCTAAACCCTAAGCCCTAAACCCTAAACCCTGAACGCTGAACCTGAATCTGAAGGGTAGTCTCTGCTCTGTAAAGGAACATGGACCCCGGCATGTTGAACGGATCGGCAGCAGGCCCGAAACGAGGGGTAGAGAGTGGGACAGACGAGCACAGAGAGACACGGAAATATCGATATCGTCGATATATGTAGAAATATACAGTATGTAAATATACACCTATGTATACGTATATGTTTATGTAGATGTATACGTGTACACCGAGATGCAGGTTACCATGCGGATTGGTAGTGCCGGTGGTGGTGGTGGTGGTGGTGGTGGTGGTGGTGGTGGTGGTGGTCGTGGTGGTGGGGGTGGTGGTGGTGGTGGTGGTGGTAGTGGTAGTGGTAGTAGTAGTAGTAGTAGTAGTAGTAGTAGTAGTAGTAGTAGTAGTAGTAGTAGTAGTACTTAGTAGTGGGAGTAGTTGTTGTTGCAGTCGTGCTGCTGCTGCTCCTACTACTGCTGCTACTAGTAGTGCTGGTACTCGTTACTAGTGCCAGCACTAGCACTAGCACTGGCACCCACACTGGCACTGGCCAGAGCACTTGCACTAGTGCCAGCACTAGCACTAGCACTAGTGCCAGTGCTAGTGCTGGTGCTGCTATTGCTGCTGCACTGCTGCTGCTTGTTGCTGCTGCTACGACTACGGCTACGACGACGATGACCGTCTGCTACTACTTCCTACTACTACTACTACTACTACTACTCCTGCTACTACTACTACTACTACTACTACTACTACTACTACTACTACTACTACTACTACGACTTCGACTACGACTACGACTACTCCTATTACTACTGTTGCTGTCGAGTGCGAGCTCATCGATCCTAGGCTACCAGCCCTGGCCTCCCGAGTTTCTCTCACTCATTCAGGGTCTAAGAGTTTCTTGTGTAGGGTTGGAGGTTGAGGGTTGAGTGTTTGAGGGTTTGAGGGTTTGAGGGTGTAGGACTTTAGGGTTCAGGGATTTAGGGTTTGGTGGTTTAAGGGTTCAGGGTTTAGGGGTCCAGGGTTTAGTGTCTCGACCTCTGTGCCCTCACCCTTGTGTGCCGCAGGCGCACTAGCCCCCTGCGGCGGTTTCGGCATGGCAAACTCCGGCATGTCAAACTCTGGACCAAGCTTGGCAACAGCATTGGAGGTGATCCGGCAGCAAGCTTATGAATGGCAGACGCAGATTGGGTAGCTCGTTTAGTTTTTGGGTCTGCTGTTCGCATGCTTGTTGTTGCGCTCAAGGCTCCAGTACTCTTACCATTTCCATTGTTGCAAGAACTCTTGGTGCGGCTACTCTTATTGTTTTCGCGACAAGCAAAGCCTTTGTATTTCATTCATAAGCTTGATCCTGTCGTTTTATGCTTCGAAGGAGTGAAGCAGGCTGAGATGTTTGGATGTTGTGCCCTTGATACTGCGTGTTTCAGAATTTATTGCTGCGTGTCCGATGGCTTTTCAAACACAGCCTAACCTGTTGCAGAACATCGAGGTCCAAGTTCCGATATCCTTCGACAGAGTGTCTTCTACCTCCGAGGCAACCGTGAACTTTTTGGACCCGCTGCCGGAAGAGAGGCAAGTACATGCAAAATGCAGCGCGGCTTTGGGTTTTGGGTTTTGTGCAGTTCGAATTGGGGTTCTTAGTTTTACCCCAAACCCTAAATCCTAAACCCTAAACCCCAAACCCTGAGCCCTAAACCCTAAACCCTAAACCCCTAAACCGAACACTGAGGCCTGAACGCTGAACCGTTCAGGACTCGCGGTTGGTGTTGGCACGGTGTTTGGTGTAGAAAGAGGCCCAAAGCTTGCGAGCGCTCAGCCCTAAAACCGCCACCCAGGACTTTTCAGGGTTAAGGGTTTAGGGTTCAGAGTTTTAGCCCTAAGAATCCACAAGTTCTGGATTCTTCTGGGCTTTTGCCAGAGGATCCTGGAAACCAGAAGTCTGAAAGTCTAAAAGTCAATGTGAAAGCCCTACTGTTGATGATATAAATCCTGCACTACCTTAAGGACCCTAAACTATGGGAACTATGGTAAATTCCTTATTATGGGTAATGCAGGATTGATATCATCAACCGTAGTAGCTGGAAGCGATGTGTTTTTCGTTCAGGGTTCACGGCTCAGGCATTAGGTACTAAGGCCTAAGAAGGTAGAGTTTCTGGGCCCCTGCCATCCCACCACACTGACACCAGTGCAAGCCACCGATCAAACCAACTCCAATTCTGCAATCGCATCCGTCGCGTTTTGCACCACTCGCAGCACCAAAGCCGCCAAGACGCGCAGAAGCATCCGGGAAGAGGATATATCTGAAAGCAGTGCCAAAATGCTGAAGCCCAAACCCTTCACCCTGAACCCTAACCCTAGACCCTAAAACGCTGAACCCCAACCCTTTAAACTCTGAACGTCAGCCTGAACAGAAAGACTCAACGCCATCAGAAGCACGACTTGGGACTTTCCTAATTGTGTGCTCAAAGTGTAAACCCTGTGCCGAGACGATCCTAAACTCTG